AAATCACATTTAACCTGATCACCACATTATTAAAATTATATTAATTCGTCCTATATATTGGCAAGTCCACAATCACAAGTTCTTCACAACTTTTCCACACTCTCTAGCTAGCTCTTCTTCCCCTCTTTAATAGCACTCTGCATTTGCATGAACGACATTGCCCGTAAAGAGACCTTCGTCTTCGTCGTCCATGGAAATAATTAATTCAACGAACAATAACAAAGTTGATCACAAATGTAGTTTTTCCAAAGCTATGCCGATAAAGTTGATTAAGTCCAAGGTTATGGGGACCGTGAAAAAGACGAAGAAAATCGGAGAAGATGACCCGAGAAGAATTGTGCACTCCGTTAAGGTTGGATTAGCTCTCACGTTAGCTTCTTTGTTCTACTACTTGAGGCCTCTTTACGATGGTTTTGGACAAGCTGGAATGTGGGCTATCTTAACTGTTGTCGTTGTCTTCGAATTTACTGTTGGTACGTAATTATTTTTCTATATTCTTCTTTTCTTGGCTTATATATATACATATATATATATATTGTTTTGTTAAATAAAGTTTAACCCCTCTACCTTTTTTATTTTCCTTAAATATTTATTTATTAGGTGGAACACTATCAAAATGTATAAACAGAGGTGTTGCAACATTGTTGGCTGGTGCTTTAGGGCTTGGAGCCGAGTACCTGGCCGACCTCTGCGGCGACAAAGGAGAGCCGATTGTTCTTGGCCTTTTCGTCTTTCTTCTCGGTAAACCGATTTTTTTTTTTTTTTTTTTTTTAATATTGAATTATAAAAAATAAATAAATTAAACTTCTATTTGATGGCCGACCTCTGCGGCGACAAAGGAGAGCCGATTGTTCTTGGCCTTTTCGTCTTTCTTCTCGGTAAACCGATTTTTTTTTTTTTTTTTTTTTTAATATTGAATTATAAAAAATAAATAAATTAAACTTCTATTTGAAGTCATAAATATTAATATCCTACATAAGTCATTTGAAATATTTGTCTATATATAAATCCTTGTTTTAGATTCATATATACTTACACGTCAGAATGCAAAACCATGCAAGAACTAGATATATAATCATTTACATGCATGGGGAAATATTTATTAATGATGTGTTAAATATTTTGAATGCAGCTGCAGCATCGACTTTTACGCGATTCATCCCACACATAAAAACAAAGTACGATTATGGGGTGCTAATATTCATACTCACTTTCAGCCTGGTTGCCGTTTCGGGTTATCGGGTCACCCAGATTTTGCAGCTTGCCCATCAAAGGCTATCCACAATTCTCATGGGCGGGGCGATGTGCGTTATAATATCCATATTCGTTTGCCCGGTCTGGGCGGGTCAAGATTTGCACAATCTCGTTGCCGGAAATATTGGAAAACTCGCCACCTTCTTAGAAGGTACGTCTTATTAATGGATACATACGTGACAACTGATCGATGACGAACCATTATATTAGATTATAATTAGCCACAAATTAAATAATTCACTATTCCTTTTTGTAGGGTTTGGAGGTGAATCTTTTACTTCTCAAGGGGATGATGGTGACAAGGACAAGCTATTTCTTCATCTCCACAAAAGTGTGCTCAACTCAAAAGCAACTGAGGAATCCTTGGTAAATAATAATTAATTGATTAATTAATCATATATTTTAACTTAATTAATTGATCAATTATTAATATTATTGATTCTAATATTAATAATTGAATTTTCAATGTTTTCAGGCAAACCTGGCACAGTGGGAACCTTGTCATGGCCGCTTTATATTTCGTCATCCATGGAAACAATATCTTAAAATTGGAACATTTTCCAGAGAATGTGCCTGTCTAATCGAAACACTTACCGGATGCATAAACTCGAAACCTCAGGCA